ACGGCATCAATAAATATGTTTAAGAACGAACTGAATCTATTCAAAAAACCTATATTTCCAGCTTTCATACATTTAATACAGTTACAAACAAACACGAAATCAATGGTTTCTGAGAATTCTGAGTGTCTTAATGCCGTCCCCTTTATCTGTTACAGGAACAGTAAACAGTTTCTCGATATCTTGTATAATTAAAAATCAAGTGAAATCACTTATCGTTTCCACCCTGTACCTGTACTTTTAAAAATAATCTCATTTTATACGTTCATTTATATAAGTATCTACAATACAAATAACTAACCAACTTAGTTGACGTTTTATAAAACTATTTGTCTAAGTGTCATCGAGCGACCGCTGGTGGATTTGCCATTTACCTGACCTACCCCTTTATTACTAAACGTTTAATATCAGATGAATAGTTACGCACCAATTTCTTTCATTCAGTCGTCAGTAATTGAACTTTCGGAAAAACATGACGAAGCGTTGTGTGACCATACAGACGCTATTCAACTTTTATTAGTAAGGAAGAGTATATTTTATGTTGGTAGAAACACAATAGCATAGACTAATGTTTTGACACCCTGTTAAAATTTTTATTAGTCATTTATTTTTTCCTGACCAAACAGATACCATAATAATATCTTTTATCTATTCTACCCATATTCTGTAAGTAAAATAATAAAAAGTTTGAAAAGAAAGAAATTACAAGTCCGATTTACCTAAACAAATAAATTAAAAATACTTGCGGATCAAAAGTACTCAATCATACTACAATTTACGAAAAAATCACGCGTGACGCATATACGTCAGTGGGCAGTCAACTGACATAGACCCGGCGTCTACGAGTGCCAAAGCACGACTGATTTATGCCATTTGATGCACCCGATTTTATAGTATTTTCAAATTAATTTTTCATTTGAAGATTGAAGATAGATATTTTTTCTTTTTCACACAATAATAGTACTATGTTTCTTCTTAAGTATAAAGTAGTTTATGTTGCCAAATGACTTTTAGATTATGAGATGTGACCTGTTTTCTTGCAGTAATTTTCTCGAATTTTGACTATCTTAGACATGATAAAAATGCATTTTAATGAATTAAACATCAAAATTTTCTCAATACACTTTCTTCTTCAGGGTATGCTTATTCTAATGAATACATTCTATCTTCTTACTTAGAAATAAATTTGTTGTAATATTAGTTCAAAGTTGTGCCTTCGCGAGTTACCTGGAAATCGGGCTTTCGAAATTCGCTGTTTTCGTAGGCAAAAATCCAATTTGAACGAGATTTTGTCAATAGACATTCCGTAAAAACGTATGATAATTACGATGATATAAGTCAAAAGAAGCTATAACAATAAATTATATGACTAAAATCATTTCGAAATCTGCCAAATTCTCGATTTCTGCATGAAAAACGTGACAACGCTCTTAAACGATTAACGTATACAATAAATGTGACTTGAAAAAATACCTCACTTTGGGCTCACCTCTGGGATCAATTAGACCAATTTTTATGGTTATAAAACCAAATAATGATCTCACGTGCCCTCTTTAACAGATTGATAGCGATTAATCCCAACTTAACAGTTTTATAGCCATAAAAGTTGACTCAAGCGTAACTACTTATTTTTTGAAAAAGTGACTCTGGATTCTTCTACAGACACATTTTTGGGGTAAAAACCTTTCCTTTAATGGAATGAAGTTTAGAACTAGGCTTTTAAATGGTGCCAATATTAGTGGGAATACGAAAGTTGAAAATGCTTGTCGCGGGAGGGTCGATTTTTGTGATGACCAGTGTATTTTAGTCGCGTTGGTGAAACGAGTACTATACTGATGCCACTGGATTTTCCTACATTGTTAGTTAACTCTAGCTAAACTAGGTCGCGACTATTGTGTAGACTGAAATATCTTTTATGTCACCCTTTTATTGGTGGAACTGTTTCGTTTCCAACGAAAATAAACGTCTTTAATTGGGCAAACCGTTTTAGAACGGCTGTTGCACTTTTAAAATCTAACTACCGTTGCTGTTCTAGAAATACAAAGGATATGCTCCTGAGATTTAGACAAAAACTATACCTAAATTGGACTTGATTTCAAATAAGAGCCAACTATACATTGTCGGTTTTCTATGATAAATAAATAAAAACAAAGACAAAGCCTCAATGTAATGTTTCAAGAAAAATATTTGTAAAACATTTAAGTTAATTAATTATTGGATTGTATGTATGTGTACCGAGCAACAGTAATTTTCATTGTACAATGCCTTGTTTCATTGTAAAGTAAATTCAATAATTGTAAACTCAATATTGCGAGTATTTTAATATGGTGCAAATTATATTATAACGGTTAATTTTAATTACAGTTTAACCAGTAATGTAACGTTCTCGGATTAAAATCGACAATAGTAATGGTCTGCTACGGTTGAGTTTTTAAGCCAAAACATTCTAGAAAAAGGAGCATAAAGTATACCTAGTATTAGAAAATCAACCCATGAGAACCTTCAATTATGGTGTCCAACAAAGGGGCAAAAACCAAGGAAGCTTGCAGTAAGCACTGATTTAGCTGTGTGCACCATAATTTTGCACCGCACTGCAAGCTTTGGGTGTGCAATTACGTATAATAAGGCAAATACACGAGTAAAATCTATACTTTTGAACTATCTACTTTGAAATTCCACTTGAACTATTTTTAAATTCATTATTGACTCGTGTTTTCTTAAAACATATACTAGGTACGGATACTATGTAAGAAATATTTATTATTTGAATGCGAAAAGCAGCGTGTGTACCTACAGACAAAACGCTAATGTGCAATAATCCTAAATCATTCTTAACAACCATTATTTAACGACTTTCATATACGAATCAGAAATAAAAGAGCGTACAAAATTTCATAATTTCTCCGCTTCAAACGCATAATCACATCAAGTGGTATTAATGCAAATTGCTCTAAGATTTGAGTGGAAATTCATTAATATTTATGTTTAATTGCTATGTGTTGTTGCTATGCAATGCTTGGGTGGTTTGACATGAAGATTGCATGCTCCGAGATCTCCGAATGTGAATGAAATGAAAAACTGAAACGATGAAAATAATTTTATTGTTATAGAATGCTGTAATTTTGTAATTTTTGCGTTGAGTAACTAGACACGGATGGATGGAGGTAATGGGTTAGCAGTGTGTTTTAACAGTTATTTATATAATTGGAGAAATAATTGTGTTCTAATATTCGAGCTCGGTAACTGGCTAGCCGTCTTTAAATTAAATGCATTTTTCTACAATAATACGTGGATCGTTTCAGCGCCTGTTTTCTTTCATGATATTCTGTATCCCGCTTTGTCCAGGATCTAAACAAACAAAAAGTCGTATTCACAAACATTACTATGAGGTCTCACAGTGCGCGTGGACGCACAGGGACACGCGAACCAATCACAGAGCTCTATTCAACGCTGTGCGTTCGATTTGCTGCTTTACTTATAAGCATCGTTCGTGAATAGGTACGGGCCTAAGATACACATGTAAAGGATCCAATCCAAAAAATGCCAAAACTGAGTTTAATATACCAAAGAGGTCGTAAAACTATTTATATTTTTCAGGTAGGAAAAGATCCTAGTGGAAAACTTTCTGTGGATTAGATCCTTCTTGGATCCTTTCTATGTAACTTTGTCTATAATATATACTAAATTACCACCCACCATTACCTAACATACTTGGCATAAATCCCAACCTCCTATATTTCGCAGCTAGTTAGTAGGTGCGTGCAAGTTGAACCACCGCTTAACGGAACTGTACGCATTACGTCTAACTGCGCTAATCCGCGTTAACCGCCGGTCAAAGCCTTGTTAGCTGAGTGCACCAGTAGCAGAAAGGCTACCTACAGAGTTGCTAATAAACTCGTCGTTTAATTTTACTCTTTTACAATGCGAACAGCTAGGGACTGGAATTCGCTGCCGGCTGCTGTCTTTCCTGAACACTATAATCCGGGCCTTTTCAAGGCGAGAGTGAATAGACACTCACAGGGCAGATACTAGACTGCATCTCACTTTTTAACACCAGGTGCGATTGCGGTCAAATACTGCCTTGGCTTGCATAAAAAAAACTATGTTTACGAAAGTCTTGACACACCGCACTTAAAAACCCCTTTTTTCATCGGAAAATGCTTTGCGCATACCCACTGGCCGATGGGGTAGGAAAAAGGATTGGAAATAGTTCTAACTGGCACAGGACAAGTTTTCCAGAGTCCGTGGGAATAGTCCCACCATCTCTATTCATATTTTTTTAACTGTCCCGCTAAGCACGTAGAATGCCTTATAGTGTTCGTTTCAGCCAAAATACCGCCCACTGCTGGGCAAAGGCCTCCCCCAAAGATTTCTATAGCGACCGGACCTGCGCTGCCCGCATCCAGGTTCTTCCAGCGACCTTAGTGATTCTGCTAATTTTCATTAACTTTAAGTAGGTACAATAGGGACAAGCTTCATTCCTTATTTTTTCAAGCTAACAAAACTGACGTTCTGTTATGTATGAAAACTGCAGCGATTCCCAAAACAATGATGTTTATGATTTTAGCACTTACTCCGGGAAATAATAATATTTGGACTGATTCTGGCGTTTGTTGTTGCAACATCTGGATGACCTGAATGTTAAAAAAGCATGTTTGACTTACATTGATCAAACTGCAAAATTTTTAATCACAATTTTTTTATTAATCTCAACTCGAGTACGCCATTTTTCTTGTCGTCAAAGGTTAATGACTACTTATTGTTACCCTCTGAGGTTTTTTTTTTCAACTAGCAATTAAATGCCTAAATGTAAACAGTAGGTACATGTAACTTGTGCTCTATATTTCTAGCGCTTAACTCAGTGCATAATCGGTCAAAACCACTTTTGACTGATGCCCTTGGGTCAATATCACTTTTGACAGATTTTTCCAGTGGGTTTGAACTAGAGCGTAAGTCAAAACCAGTACATAAATTACTTATTTATTTATTTTTCGTTGTTACAGACTACCTCACTCAACCAAAGAACAATGCGTAGAATCTCGCCAAGCAACCCAGTGAGGCGCTGTCTCTTCCCATCAGAAGGTGATGACGAAGGTAAACGAGACAATATTAATAACGTCTTCCAAGAAATGTACAAACAAGAGGCAGAAAGGGCCAAGGAGCAATGGAACTATGATACAGAAAATGATGCCCCCTTACCCGGCAAAAGACCGGTCTATTGGAAAGGCAAAAACGAAAACGGCGTTTGGGTTGGCGTAATAAATGATACAGACACGGATGAAAACGATGAGACAGACGAGGAAAACAAGTCAGACGAAAATGAACCTAAAGAAGAAGCAGCAATGCAGCTTGAAGCTACTCCAGCTCCTAAAGCAGCAGTAAAAGAACCCCCTACTCCTACTAGGAAAAGGTCTAGGGAAAATAGTCCCACTGACACTAGCGCTAAACGCAAACTAGATCTGTAAAAAATAGCTGTTGTTAATCACAAGAACTTATTTACGAAGAAAATTACAACAAAAGTTCCAGTAAGGCCTTGTGTACTTACAAGTAAATATTTGGCTTTAAATTGATGACAGGAATATTTATCTAAGCATTAAATTGCACGAGAAATTATGATGCCATGAGGCTTTTATGTATAATTTTCTGGGATCTCAAAATTTCTATATTTTCGGTACAAGATGCCCACTGGAGAGTTTGTGTTCCAATGATCTCAGACACCAGAAATACGCTTCGAACCCCTCTGTACCTATCGAATATACATACTTTACTTCTAATGTAATGACTATACCGAAGAATTCCAAAACTCTAATAACTATGAATATTATTATTTTATTTTTACGCAGATGCTCGTTTTAAATTATATTTTGTCCTATTATTATCTAAATTATGTATTTTATCCTACATCCTCCCTTATTATCATAATTTTAAAATACTTGAAAACGTACTACCTACACTACTACTCGTACTACTACGACGGGGGGACCCAATTAAGGCTCAAAAAGCGTACTCTTTCTAAGGCAGTTGGATAAAAAGACTATCATCCTTTCCACCTTCCATGACCAAGTTTATGTAATCAATAAGTGATAAATGTGCCACTATATTGAATATGAAATATAGCAAATGGATACCAAGAATGAATGGATTTATGTGAAATTAGTTAGTGATTGTATGTATCTTATTTATTATTCGTAGCTTATAGATTTATTTTTAGATACTTGTACGAGTAATGTAAAATCGATTCTATGAAATAAATAAACGGCCCGTCATTTAATAAATGATGCTCAAAACTAGATTCAATTCCAGTTTTAATTTAAGACAGATTTTTTATCCTTTTGTAGGTCTATTCCACTTTAAAAACTTACAAAAGTTCCACTTTAAAGACTCCAAACGACATTAAAGTGTCCTTTGATCACCTATGAATAAGAAGTTCACTTTGATCACCTACGTGATCTTATCCATAGGTGATCAAAGGACACCACAGTGTCGCCTTGAGTCCACTTTGATCACCTTGGTAATCAAATCCAGGTAATCAAAGTGGAATAAACCCTACCAACCGGTCAATAGGGAAAATTTTGGGCGAAGCTATGTGCAGCCGTGGACATCCTTTGGCTGAAGTTAAAATGATGAATATGAAAATTGAATTTCAATATTCAACTGAAATCTATAGATTGATGAGTCTTGAGCATAATTCATTCCGTAATATTTTTAATTTATTAATCTTTTATAGATTTAGATTATGAATATTATTAATTTATGAATGTCAAAACATCATCTATGTAGGAACTGGATTGTTTAAAAAATGTGTTTTTTTTTATTTTATAAGCAAGAATTTAATACTAAAATTATGAAAATGAACTGACTTTGATATCTTTTGATTTAATTGTAAAAATGATATTGAGGACGATTTTGGACACCGATTAAATTTAAAATGTATAAAAGTATATTTTGTATAAAAGTAGTAGATTTATTAAGTTCATAATGAAATTAAACAAAGGACAACAGGCTTTATATTAATTAAGCAGACAGATGTTCTATCATTTTTTTTAAATAAATTAATGTTACAGATACTTTATTTATCTAAAAATAATTTCGCATAATATTCCTTCAATTTATATCTAATAGATTTTTTAAATCATAAATCAAATAATTAAAAATGTCCTTTGATAAGACTCGCCTGCACAAATTCATTCCTATTTATTATTATAATAATAACAAAATTAATACATCACATGTATAGCTAAGAAATGTACACAACAATATCTTAAAGTATAAGAACTTAAATGTTAAAGGTATATTTTATTTTATTAGACGAAGATGCAGATGGCAGCATCAAGCTATACACTATGGCATCTTATGACGTCAAAATAGATGCTATTTTGAAACAAAAATCTATGGCCTAATGTGATTGCTGTACAGTCAGCGTCAAATAGTTCGTGACACCCAAAGTGGCCAAAAAGAGGGTTGTTTCCTGGGTAAAAAAAGCAAGAGTTTAAATCAGTCCGTCAGTTAACTTATCAAAAAATACTCGACACGTATTTTTTATTTTTTCAAATTAATGAAAATTTATAGAGGTAAAGCGCGCCAAAGATCAAAAGAAGAGAAGAGAGGTCCGTGACGTCAACGACTGCTTAAAAGTGTAGCACTTTCTGACGACACGCGCAACTTCAACGCACCATAACTTCGTAATTACTTGTTTAATTGACAAATAAAAATATACGTGTCCAATATTTTATGATAATAATATAAATAGATGGACTAAATTTTTTTTAGAAAACTAACCTAAGTTTTGCGAACTTTTGGTTACTTTGGGTGTCACGAATTATTTGACGCTGACTGTACCTAACACTCCTCTCTGTTTAGTCTATGAGTAGGTCACATATAAATAAATACGCTTATCAAAGTTCTGTGGTCTGCAGCAGAACATGTAGTGCCATATTAGGGCCAGAATGCAATTTAGACTTTACGTACCTATTTGTGAAATAAGAAGAACGAAAGTCCTGTTACTAAAGTATGATATTTGTTCAACGAGTTATTATTTGAAGTAAAATTAACTGGTTTTTCAATTCAAATTGGCAAACCCTCGAAAATTCCAGCCAGTAAGTATTAAACGAGTATATTTAATTTAAATTATATAATATAAAAATATCGAGTGATGCCATGGTTTTTGACGAATATTCTTGTATTATTTTTAAATAACATATTATATTTTACAGCTGTACCCCAAAGTATGTTGTAGAAATGTTTAGTGTAATGCAGTAATTGCATACGGATTTTTAATAAAATAAACACGATTAACCTAACATAGTAAATTAAATTTATTTATTAAAAAATTGTAGAAATAAAATATTATTTCTAGAATATTATGTAATAGTTATCATGGTAGGTGATTGTAAATTGTAACCATGCGAATGTATGTAACACACAGACTTATAACTTTATTAATGCTACATTTTGTACATTCAAATGTATTTTTTTGAGTTTTTAAATACATAATATAGTTATTAGCCATAATATTATACCATGTTTGACTCATCCATTCTTTTTGTATTTGTCTTTCTTTTTTATAGTGCAATCATAGTTTTTATATTTATTAGTATAATATTTATTGTTGATTAAATTATTGGACAAAACGTTTTTGTTATTTGATAATTTTAAGCCATTTAGCCTACCTACCCTACAGGAGGACGATCTAATTTAGAGAATTTAGAATCGAACCCGGGACCTCTGCGTCTGAAACAGGTAGACTTACCACTAGACCACAGAGGCGGTTTCATCTGCTTCTTGGTATATTTCACCTCTTATGACATCCATGGGAAGAGTGTTGGTGGTCCTAATCCCATTTTACTCTGCCGGAACCATAATGCTTACATCTAAAATACGCAACACAAAATATTAATTTTTAATTGTTTAATTGCTCGTAAAGCACTCGCTCTCTAATTACACTGGCCATAGACAAGGTAATAACTGCCTCTATGGCCGCACAACCATAGACCACACCGTTAGTAACTTGTAATTCGTTTCACGCAACATAAACACTTTTGGTGTTGCAACACTTGCAAGTCGACGACCTTGTTGTACAAAATGCACCGATTGGTGTTTCATCGGACTCAAGAAATTTTTGATAATCTACACGAATATTATACAGAGATAAGATTTGTATTACTACTGGACCGATTAGAGAAATTCTTTCACCATTAGAATCTTATTTTTTTCCAATGAACTTAAGCATAAGTTTTTTACACATACCGAATTACACGGGACTATTCCCACCTCTCTTTCCCACCACTGCAACTCCTGTGTAGCCAGGATTTACAGCTTGACCACCAATAAAAACCCAACCAGTAAAGGTCAAGTTTACCGAATTACACATCAGCTGAAAACTTGCTGGCGACTTGAAATGAAACAAATTAGCGCAATCGGGGCCCTGGTTAAATATTTAGTTGGTGTGCTATCATCCATACATCCTACTTATTGTTTTAATTTCACTTTCTTCTCCGCCAAAAGCTTTGATTCATGACTTCATAGATGTGATTTTCGGACGGTATGCAAGCATCGTTACTTTAATTCAACACCACAACGGAAACGCGTTCCGTTAACGATAACTCACGCCCGAAACGATTGAGTTCCTCATTCGGGACGACTACAAGGATTACACTTTTACTGGATATGGCACGTGAAGCAATGAGTCATCTATGTTATGAAAAGTTGCAGCCGTTCCAAGGGCCTTAGTTTTTAACTCCTCTTATTTTCTCATTTTCTTTTTACATATGTAATAACTTTCTCCTGTGATGTTTTGATTAGTGATCATCAAGCTGTAAATACACGCAAAGTTGGTAAACTTTTAATTTTAAACACTGCGTACATTTAAGGTAGACATTTTTTGTTGGATAGCCCATTTATTGAGGCTTTAGGCTATAATAACTATAACATTAATAGGGGGGCGGAGAAATACTAGCTGTAAAGAAATTTTTTTGCAAAAACGGGGAATATAATTCAAATTGGCTGATAGTGACTTAGTTTCTTCCGCCACTTCTTCTCAGCACCAGCCCATAATGTTGTCCCGAAGTGATGACAAGCTATATTTGGTTCGTGTTGAGTTTAAGAGACCTGAAAAAGGCATATGTACTGAATAAACTATTTTATTTATTTAAATTATTTTCACGCGGGTACAGTAATATAATATTAGTGTAAAATAAAAGGGTCCCTTCCAGTAGCCAGTGGGTCCTTGTAAAGCGACGGTTGGACCCAGCAGGGCGGAACGACAGGATCCGACTGACCTTCGATGCACACTTTACTACATGCACTTGTACTGCTTGTAGGATAAGCAATAAACTGTTTTTTCTAATTTAAATAACGTTATTAAGTTTTTACTTTATGTCACAAAGGGATTTGTGAAAAGTTTGGGCATTTTCACAAAAAAATCAAACGCTCGTTGAATTTATTACTACTAAATGTCAATTTAAACTACACTGGTCATCACAAAAATCGGCCCACCTACGTTTTACAGGAAAACTCGTTTCTACTGACACAATCATGGTGCCCCAACAAAATTGGTGTTATTTGAAAGCCCAATAAATATCCTTAAAGAAAAACACATTTTATTTCTTAATAAACGATTAACATTACACAATAAATGTGACTTGAAAAAAGACCTCACTTTGGGCTCACCTCTGAGATCAATTAGACCAATTTTTATGGTTATAAAACCAAATAATGATCTCACGTGTCCTCTTTAACAGATGGAAGCGATTAATTCCAACTTAACAGTTTTATAGCCCTAAAAGTTGGCTCAAGCGTAACTACCTATTTTTTGAAGAAGTGACTCTGGATTCTTATTTTTGGGGTAAAAACCTTTCCTTTAATACTAGTATTATATTATCTGTGCTTTAATGAAATGAAGTTTAGAACTAGGCTTTTAAATGGTGCCAATATTGGTGGGAAGTGGAGATGCATACTTTTGAAAGTGCTTGTCACGGGAGGGTCGATTTTTGTGATGACCAGTGTAGTTTTCAATCTACATTTAGACACCCCCAGACTCACTTTTAGTCGGCCGATAGTTTGGTTGGGCTGTTGATCAGTATGTCACTATGAACATGTATGGAAGTGCACGCATTACACCGATTTGATATCGGCCGATTCCTCAACCTAAAATAACAACAAATTAATGATAAAAAGTTCAGATAACAGACAGGTATAGTACCGGAGCGCTAGCAACCTGTCTTAATACTCGTACTTGACAAATTCCAAAATATGATATTACTATTACACATTGTTTTTCGCAAATATTATATCAACGACCTTCAATTTTATGTGCACATATGCAGCTACACGCACACATGAATAGAAGTAATATATTTTTTATCTTTAGTACAGTCAGACAGTAATTATGTTAGATTTTGAGACCGATCATAACCGCCACAGGTGGCCCGAGCCGCTGCAGCGCTGCTTCAAAAAATGGACTTAATATTTTTTACAAAGTGAAACACTGAGGTCTGTATTATACACATGACACTTCAGTGTAAGTCTGCACTGAAAAATAGATTCAGGGCTACGGTTTTTCCAAATTAATATTGAAAGTGGACCAGTTATAGCTAATCTATTTGAATTTAAAACTTGACAGACTATACAGCCTGACTTACTTGACATAAGTCCGTTTTCACCATCAATCCCTAATTTAAAATAAATGAAAAATTTGAAAACGGGCATTAATGTCCTCTGTCCCCTAGATGGGACAGAGGGCATCTTCCATCGCGTTCGGTCTTGAGCTTCATGTTTGATCTTGCTCCAAGACTATATGAAAGAAGATTGAATGAGAGTGAGAATTTAAATGAAGATTAAAATAAATATTTTGCACTGTTACCAAACTTTCGGGCCG